GAACTTCCCAGACACATTTTTGTTTTGATTTGTTGCATACTTAAATCCAGAATTATGATATTACTTGATGCCAGAAACTAATATGACAGCCAAAAGGATCAAATTAAGCAAAGTTTCTCTGTTTTTACTTTTTAACTTTTTATTGAAATATAGTATACACATTGAAATGTACACATATGTGAACTGTACAACTTTATGACTTTTCATAAAAAACACATCAACAGCCGAAACCGGTTTGGCTCAGTGGATAGAGCGTCGGTCTGCGGACTGAAAGATCCCAGGTTCGATTCCGGTCAAGGGCATGTACATTGGTTGCGGGCACATCCCCGGTAGGAGGTGTGCAAAAGGCAGCTGGTCGATGTTTCTCTCTCATCGATGTTTCTAGCTCTCTATCCCTCTCTCCTCCTCTCTGTAAAAAAAGTCAATAAAATATATTTTTTTAAAAAGAAAAAAAAAAAGAACACACCAACATAGCTAGCATCCAGGCAATAAAACAAAATACTACCAACACCCTAGAATTCCCTCTCAAAACCCTTTCCAGTTGCTATTCCTATCTGCAAAAGGCATCCACTATGGTGATTTCGATGATAGTTTATCTTTGCCTACTTTTGTACTAAATATAAGTGATATTAAATATACTTTATTGCACCTGGCTCTTTATGTAAGATTCATCAATATTGTTATATGTACACTGCAATTGTATATTGCTGACTCCCAGTGCTATATAGCACTTGAATGAATGTACCATAGTTTACTTATCCATTATACTGTTGGTGGGCATCTGGATAATTTCTAGATTAGGGCTATTATTAACAGTGATTCTATGAACATTCTAGTACAAATGTTTTGATGAACATATGTTATAGTACATATTATGGTTGGATATAGTCCCAGAAGTGGAATTACTAGGTCTCCAGGTTCCAGGGAAATGGACTTGCTGGGCCCACCTCAGTGAAACTTCCTGGAGTCCAGTGAAATGAGAGATATACCTTCAAAAGTGAAGGCTAAGTTGTTGCATCTGGTCCTTTAGGCAACCAAAAAAGAAACACATGCCTAGAGGTCTTTTTAGATTTTGGAGCCTCATTTCAGTGTAGTTCTCCAGCCCATTTACCAAGTGACCTGAAAAGCTGCTGATTTTGAGAGGATCTCAGACTAAGAGAAGGCTCTGCAACAGGTCCAGGCTACTGTGCAAGATGCTCTGCCACATGAACCATATGATGCAGCCAATACAGTAATTGTATTTGAAGTATCAGTGATGGACAGAGATGCTGTTTGGAGCCTGTTGATGAATCACAGCACAGGTCCTTAGGATTTTGGAGGAAAGCGCTGCCATTTTATGTGGATAACTACTCTCTCTTTTTGAGAAAAAAGTATTTGACTATTTTTGGGCATTAGTAGAGACTGAATATTTAACTATGGGCCACAAATTATAACAGGAGATGAGTTGCCCGTCATGAATTAAGTGTTGTCTGGTGTACCATACCATAAAGCTGGCTGTGAAGAGCAACACTATTATCAAATTCAAATGGTATATACAAGATTGGGCTGAGCAGGCCCTGAAGGCATACATAAGTTATAAGAGGAAGTGGCCCAAATATCCATGGCCCACAATCCTAACACATAACCTCTCTCTCAGCCTGCACTTATGGCATTATGAGGAGTTCTCTACAGCCAGTTGACTGAGGAAAATAAAAGTCTGGCTTGGTTGACATATGGTTCTACATGATATTCAAGTACCACCTGAAAGTAGACTGCTGTAGTACCTATAGCTTCTTCTTGGGGCAAATCTGAAGGAAACAGGCAAAGAGATATCCTCCCAGTGGGACAGAACTTAGAACAGTGCACCTCATTTTTCACTTTTTTAGAATTATATTCATGGACTATAGCCAAAAGTTTGGCTGGATGAACAGAGACTTGAAAGGGACATGACTAGAAAATTTATGGAAAAGTCATGTGGATCGACTTCTCTGAATGGGCAAAAAAACATGAATATATGTGTTTTATCTGAATGCTCAACAGAGGATAAATTCAGCAGAGGAGAATTTTAATAAACAAGCCAATGACTTGTTCTGTGGATACCAGTAAGCCTTTTGCTCCAGTGTTTGCCCAATGACCACAATAGAAGTTATGCAAGGTCTCAGCAACATGACCTTCTGTTCACTAAAGTCAGCCTGACTATACCCACTGCTGAGTATCCTATATCTGTCAGCAGCAGAAACCAACATCCCATTTCCAATATGGCACCATTCCTTGGAGTGATCAGCCAGCTACCTGGTGACCAGTTGATTACAGTGGACCACTTCCATCATGGCAGGGGCAACAGATTATTCTTACTGGAATAGATACTTTCTCTGGATGGTAATTTTCCTTCCCTGCATGCAAAACTTCTGACAAAACCATCATTCAAAGTCTTACAGAATGCCATATCTACCATCATGGCATCATACAGAGCATTACTTCTGATCAAGAGGCTCATTTCAGAGCAAAATAAGTGCAGCATTAGGTCCATGTTCATGGAATTCACTGGTCTTACCATGTTCCCCATCATCCTGAAGCAGATAGCTTAATAGAATGGATGGTTACAGCACTAGCGGGGCAGCAATACCTTGCAGACTGGGGCAAAGTTCTCCAGAAGGTAAAAGGTTGTATTGCTCTGGAACAGCATCCACTATACAGTGCTGTTTATCCCATTACCAGAATTCAAAGATCCAAAAAATGTAGGGGGTGAAAATGGAAGTGGGACCACTCAATATTACCCCTGGTGACTGACTAGTAAAATTTTTGCTTCTTGTTCCCATGACTTTATGCTTTAATGGCCTAGAGCTTTCACTAGAAAGCTTTCATCAGAAGATACAACAATAATTCCATTGAACTGTGAGTAAAGGCGGCCACTGGCCACTTTAGGCTCCTCATGCCTCTGGGTCAACAAGCAAAGAAGAAAGTTCCTGTACTGGTTGGGGTGACTGATCCTGAATACCATGGGAAAATTGGGTCATACCACTCCACAATGGAAGAGTATGTCTGCAATACAGAAGATCCCTTAGGCAGTGGTCGGCAAACTCATTAGTCAACAGAGCCAAATATCAACAGTACAACTATTGAAATTTTTTTTGAGAGCCAAAATTTTTAAGCTTAAACTTATTCTAATGCCACTTCTTCAAAATAGACTTGCCCAGGCTGTAGTATTTTGTGGAAGAGCCACACTTAAGGGGCCAAAGAGCCTCATGTCTCGAGAGCTGCAGTTTGCTGACCACGGCCTTAGGGTATCCCTTAATATTACCATGCCCTGTGATTAAGGTCAATGGAAAACTACAACCCATCCAAGCAGGACTAGATCCTTCAAAAATAAGAGTTTATATCACCCCACCAGTTAAATAATCATGACCAGCTAAGGTACTTATTGATGGCAGAGGGAATATGCAATGAGTAGTGGAGAAAGATAGTTATAAATACCAGTTATGATCACATGACTAATTAAGCAAATATCTTTATTTCCTTCCCTCTCTTATACTCTATCATCCTATATAAGATGTATTAATAATAGTTAGCTTCATAATATAGAACTTAGTTACAGAATACCAAGGAGAAGAACAAACATCACCTAAGAACTTTGAATCCTGTTCTGGGGAAGGAGCACATTTTTGGTTGTATGTAAGATAGTCACATTATGTTAGAACACAGAAGTATGACTTTGTTACTGTTTTTATTTGGATATTAAATATGGTTTAAGGAGATGTGTATAAATGTATAGCTGACACAGAGTGAACTGAGATGGTTAGTTGTAGTATCAACTTGGCTAGGCTATCTATCCAATTATATTAAATATTAATCTAATTTAGGAGCTGGTGTTGCTGCAAAGGTATTTTGTATATGTGGTTAACATCTGTAATAACTGACTTTAAATAAAGGAGACAATCCTTGATAATGTGTATGGGCCTCATCCAAACAGTTGAAAAGCTTTAAGAGCAAAACTGAGGTTTCTTTGAGGAAGGAGAAATTCCTCCTGAGGACTGCATCAACATCAGCGCCTGCCCAAGCATTTCCAGCCCGCCCTAGAGTTTTTACCATACTTTATAATTACACTAAGTCAAATCCTTGAAGTATGTATTTACATCCTATTAATTTTGTTTCTTTCATAGAACCCTGACTGATATGACATATACAATTATCAGAGATAGACATATAAGTCTATTATGTGGTCTCTGTCTGTGAAAACTTCATAATCTAAAGAATATAAAAAGTCAGCATAAAAATTATGTCAGAGAGCAGTAAATTATCAAGTGTAAAAATGAGTAACACTGAATTAAGTATTCAAGAAAATTAGAAAAGAAAAATATCTTTGTGGATTTAGGGAAGCTCAGGACAGGCTCTGTGGAAGAAATTGCGACAGGGATCAATGGGGACTGATATGGAGTGAGGGAAGTACAGAAAAATCTAAACTTGGAGTTTAGATGGAAAGATTGAATTCCTTTCTACCACTTGGTAGGAATACGTTCTTGGACAAATTGCATACTACTTTAAGCCTCATATTCTTAATATATAAAGTGAGGATAATAGTACACATACTGTCTTATCATAAAGTCATAGAGAGAAATAAGCGAGATATGGTAAGGTGCTTAGCTCAAAGCCTGTCACGGAAAACGTTTTACCCACTGTTAAGTAAACGCAGAAACATCTCAATACCTTTAAAAAAATACTACTAAAAATAAGGCCCCGCAACACTAAATTTCAAATAGTTACAAGAGGAATCATCTTCATACATTTTAATTCAATGGCATTAGCTAATTTTTCAAAAGATGAAGTATTTGACTTTCAAAAAAATTATTTTAATGAGGTTCTGAAATCTGACCAAATTTACTATTAAAATTTTACAATTTCCACTTGTACAAGAACTCTCAGAATAAAATTTATAACTGAACTTCCCATGTATATAAGGAATTTACAATGAAAATGTGTTTTATAGCTTTTTAAAAGTGTTTTCTGCATTGATACTACAGTACCTTGAGGAATATCTTTAGGAAGAGAATATTTCTTCTTCTTTACAATAACACCTTTACTTTTCAATTGTCTAGTTCCTGGTGATGCTCTAATAATACAACATATTTTTGATTTATTTAAAGGAACCTGAAAAAAGAAGAAAAGATGTTGCATAATTCTTCCAGATAGTATATTTATATTTTATTTCAAAGGCAAATAGTCTTAATGTCCATAGTTCATAAATATTAATAAAAGCACTTATGAAATATTTATTCACTTTGGACACTGATTGGTTTTAAAACATTTGCTTATTTAATATTCACAAGAATCAGGGAAGGCACATTATATTATCCCCATTTGTAAAATGAGAAAACTTAGATTTCAAGAGGTTGGATAACTTATTTAAGGACTGAGAGAAAATAATGATAGAGTTGAGATTCAAGCACTCCAAAGATGGAGAGAGTGTTTACATGATTTATTGAATTAAGACACAGTTTATACTTAATTCTGAGTCAAACACTAGGTTTCCTTGATTTGCCAACGCATGTAATTTCGACAGTTTCCCAACAAGTAGATAATATCTAGAATAAAGAAATACCTTATCTTTCAAAAGTGATATATCTGTTTCTTAGAACAGAAAAATAGAGACATATAGTTATCAAGGGCTCCTCTCATTTAAAATAAAGCCTGTAGAGAAATTTCTTTTACTGTAAAATTCCATATCATCTTGTCTGGTGGACATTTAAAATTTTACTGCCCAACATTCATTTTCCATTCTTTGGGACTTCTGGTTCTCTTAGGAGAACCTATTTATTCTATCAGCCTACATACCATACTTTCTGTATGGATCAAATGGATCTGATACTATTTCTGAGCTGGAGGATGGTCAGAAGACCCAATCTAGCCAATCAATGTACTCCATGCCCTTGGACACAGTGACTGGCTTAGACAAGGACACTATAAATGGGCCAGCAGAAAAAAAGAAATGCTAAGCCTGAGATTTAGTTTCATAGAAACGTAGGTTTATTTCGATAGAGACATGCTGAATACAAAGGGCTGAAATAAATGAGTAATCATTAACATAAAATAATTGGACATTTAAATAAAAATTAGTATTTTTTTCTTGAATATTAACTTAATAGGCACTGAATAACTGCACAAATTAATAAGTGTAATACAAGTAAACCTATTTTTCTTGTTCTCTGAAAGCAAAATATTTTCTGTTGCGTACACCAAAGAAGTCAGTATAAGACTAATAATGTGGCCTTAGCTGGTTTGGCTCAGTCAGCCTGCAGACTGAAAGGTCCCAGGTTCAATTCCAGTCAAGGGCACATGCCTGGGTTGTGCTCTGCATCCCCAGTAGGGGGCATACAGAAGGCAGCCAATCAATGATTTCTTCTCATCATTAATGCTTCTATTTCTCTCTCCCTCTCCCTTCCTCTCTAAAATCAATTTAAAAAAAATTTTTTTTTCTTAAAAGACTAATGATGCCCTAGCTGGTTTGGCTCAGTGGGTAGAGTGTCAGCCTGTAGACTGAAGGGTCTCAGGTTCAATTATGGTAAAGGGCACATGCCTGGGGAAGGGAGCAAGCAGGAGGCAGCCGATCAATGATTCTCTCTCATTATTGATGCTTCTATCTCGCCTGTGATGGGCCAGGTCCCACCATGCTGCCATGACACTGCCTGACTCACAGGTTACCTCCACGAAGCACAGCTGGAAGTAGAGGTCGAGGGCAGCTATCATGTCCACCCCCTTAGGAAAGCACTTCTTTTCCTTTAGGTAATAGCCGATGGCATAATTCTGGTCCCACTTCCTTCTCAGACTGGAATGTGGCATTGCTGAAACCCATGTATTACTTTCCAGCCATTTTGTGCAGATACTGCAAAACAAAATCAAACTTTTCCACTTTGTTACAGTCTATCTTGATCAGAGAGCTTATAACAATGGCTCCAGTATTGACCATGAGGTTATGGGGGATTATTTCCTCATTCAGGGCAATCTTGTTGTAGCGCAGGCCATTGGGCTCCTTGCCCCTAAATTTGTGCATGTAGTCAGTGCTTAGATGGCACAGGTCTGGAGGCAGAAGGGGACCTTTGTGTGGCCCCTGTGTACTATGGATGGCTGCTGACCATCCATAGTACACAGGGAGACGCCCCATGGGTCTGGATTTGACTTAGTCAGCTGAGGGATGTAGATTGCCACTTTGCCTCCAGTGAACTCTCTGGCATCCTCAAAGATACAATCCACATGGCTGGTGAACTCCTCAAAATCAGGAATGACAATCTTCTTTCAGAATCCCTATGTCAGCCCAATGTTGCTGCTCACACACTGTTGGAAGAGGCCACCACTGCTGGACTCTAGAACCATGTGGTACATCTGACTCATGCAGTTCCGGAGCGGGGGATCTGATGTCTGCAGTAGCCTTCAGTACAGTAGTGAACTTGTGGATAGGGATTCATTCCTGTCCCTCAACAACAGTGTAGAAGAGCACATCGCCCAACCTGGAAAGCATGATGTACTCTGACAAATCACTGTCCCGCAAGCCTTACTGATCCTGGCGCTGAAGCTGGTGGCTATGCATTATCTCCCTGTCCTGCGGCCTCACTGAGAGGGTGCCAGATGCCCTTGCCAAGGAGGGGGCTCCAGCTCAGGTAACCCCAGTCTCCCTTCCAGCAGTGACTGCTGGCCCTGCTCAGCATATTCTGTAGAGCCTTCATAGAGTGCATCTCCCCAGCATGTCACCCATGCCGCAGAGCACCCAGGATTTCTCTATTTCATTTATTTCTGCTCTATGCTTTGTTATTATCTCTCTAATTGCCTCTAGTCTCAGCTCTTTACAATCTGTTCTCTGCCTCTTGATCCAGAATAAACGTTATACAAGAACATTTGATGTCATTTCTGGTTCAAAATCCTTTTATTGGCTCCCTTTAAGAAGAAAATTTAAAAATTTTAATATATATTACAAGATCCATTACTCTGTTGACCCTGGTTTATCTTTACAAACTCATCTCTAGTTTTCTCCTCATCACCTGGATCCCCACTTTCACCCCAGGGTGAGTGAGAGGTCTGGCTACACTCAACCTCTACACAACACTAAAGTTTTCCCTCTTTATTTCTTTTTCTCTTTGCCTCTGTCCCATCCTACTGTCTTTCTCTCTGTATCCCTTCCTCTTCTCTCTGGCTCTTTCTGTCTCTACCTCTTTTCCTGTTCTCTCTTTTTCTATTCATCCCCTCTCTCTTCTTCCACCCACATCCCCATGGCTCTTAGAATAATGAGTTTAATGTATTTATTAACAAAGCTTAGTATGTTCAAATAACATAATGAAGTTGGTGACCACAAGTTATATGTAAAGACAAAAACTGAGTTTTGGATTAAAGTAGATTAATACTGTTTCTTCCTGTTGTTTAATACCCCTTGGTCCTGAGGACAAAAAATGTTTTGGCTATGGCAGCCTAATATCCTTTCTTTGGAATTGTAACTGAAAATTTATTCCACATGTACTTGATATTAACCTTAACTGAGTTATGGATTTTTTTGAAGTCTCATATACAAGGTATCTAATATAATAGTAAGTATTTCTTTTGGTATTTGAAGGGGAAATTGAAACTACTACCTCATTTGAAGAATTTTCTTGGGAACTTGACACAGGAACAATTTCATCTGAATTAACACAGCTGCTGACATTTGGAACTAGTTCCTCGAAAGATGATTTTTGTACTGAGGACAGATCAATCTATAAAAAAATATACTACTTTTTTGTAGAAGTTAAATGTTGCAAACCAGTTTTTTTTAATAATTAAAGGAAAATTGAAACATACTATATCATTAAAAGCACTGTGGCCTAGAATTTGACATATGAACAATCTTATCTGAGTTAATATAACTGCTAATAGTTTGGAAATAGTTCTCCGAAAGATGGATGCTCAACTGGGGAGAAATCAATCTATAAAGAAGATTATAATACTGTTTAGCTTTAAAGTTATTATTTAAATAGGTATTTTTATTAGCTTCAGTATTGTATAATTTTTTCCCCTAGTCTTCATCTAATTAATATTTATAAGGGGCTTATTAACTGAAATCCATCTACCCTTTATGTGAGCTAAAAGACTGAGATAGGCAGTCAAAGAAACAGAGTCAGAGACAGAAAAGGGGAGAGAGAGAGAGAGAGAAAGAGAGAGAGAGAGAGAGAAAGAAAGAGAGATATCAAGACAGGTTGGTGCTACAGTATTCTAATGTTTTTATTTTATTTTATGTAAAGCAATATATAGAATACTTTCAGTGAAAGTATGTTTGTGCAACAGAAAAATAAAAATACTATTGTGTGTGTACAACATTACCCGGATGTGACAGAAACAGAATAAAGGGGAGCAAGAAAATAGATTCTACATATGCAAATACTCATACTTACCTCTAAATCAGCTGTTTGCGAAGTTGGAGTACTTGTTAACAGGCCTCTGTTTTTCTTATCAGAAATAGTGGGATTTGTGTTCTATCAATGTTTTGTGAAATAGGAATTGAATAGCAGGAAGAAAGAAACTACTTTAATACCGTAAAAACACAATATAAAATTAGTAGACTAAATCATAATATACTAATAAAAATTTAATCTGCTATCACATTTTAAACCATTAGACAGGCAACTAAAGAATTTTCTGGCTTGAGCTAGGTCAAACAACTCACAAAAGAACTCTATGTGGTGCAACAGCTATTTAAGAATACTTTGGTTGAAATCACTGCTAATATAAGAAGAAAAGCTAATTAAAGTTTTCAATTATGAAATGGTGCTTTGATTATCTTCGTTAACTGCTAAGAAAGATATTTTACTTATAGCATTTGTTTAATTCCTAGCATATACTGTACTTTTTATGGAAGGAGATTATAAGTTATTTCTGAAGCTGTTAAAACATGTAGCAAGGATACTAGATTTAAAATACACACACTTGCCAAGACCGGTTTGGCTCAATGGATAGAGCGTCGGCTTGGGGACTGAAGGGTGCCAGGTTTGATTCCAGTCAAGGGCATGTACCTTGGTTGCGGGCACATCCCCAGTAGGGGGTGTGCAAGAGGCAGCTGATCGATGACTCTCTCTCATCGTTTCTAACTATCTCTCTCCCTTCCTCTCTGTACAAAATCAATAAAATATATTAAAAATAAAATACACACACTTAAATGCATATAGATACTTTCATTTATGGAACAACAAAGTTAAAGAAAGTTCAAAGTAGGATACAGACTAATTTTCTGTTGTTTTTTTTTTTCTTTTTTAATTTTCTATTTCTTGAAGATGCAGAGGCAAAAAGAGACAAATCAAGAGTTAGAGACAGAGAAAGAAACAGGATCAGAGGCTAAAGAGTTTAAGAAAGAGAGGGAAGGACCGTCAGAGAGAGGGATAGAGAGAGAGGTGAGAAGGGAAAGAAAAAGGGAGAGAAAAGAGGGAAGAAAGAAGCGGGGATTAAGAGGTGATGAGGAGGGAAGGGGAGATAGGGAAGATGGGGAGATAAAAGACAGAAAGAAAAATAAAGGAAGATTAAGAGGAGAGAGGGAGGGAAAAGAAAGGTAAGACAGAGAACAGAGACTGAGCAGAAAAACTGAGATTGACAGTAAAAGAAAGAATCAGAGACACAAAGGACAGATACAGAGAGATCAAAACAGAGTTTGGGAGAAAAGAGAGACAGAGCTTGAGACTGAGAGACAAAACCAGGGAGAGCAAAGACAAGGAAACAGGTAGAGGGGCAAAGCAGAAAAAAACAGTAATAGAGTCAAAAAGAGAAGATGGAAGCTTCCTTTCTAGCCATCAACTGCCTTTCTAGTTGGTCCTTTTTCATATTCTCAAGGGTCTCACAAACTCAGAGATAAAACTTGAGCAGAAAGTTTATTAGGTTTCTTTTTCCTTTATTTCCTCTTTTCTTTCTTTCAGGATTAAAAACCTCTGAAATTGCCAGCATGGCTCAGTGGTTAGAGTGTTGGCCCATGCATTGGAAAGTCTTGGGTTTGATTCCCAATAAAGGACATATACCTGGGTTGCAGATTTAATCACCAGGCCCAGTCAGGGTAGGAGCAGGAAGCAACCAATCGATATGTCTCTCTCACATCAATGCTTCTCTCTCACTCATCCCCTGACACCCTCCCTTGTATTCTCTCTAAAAATCAATGGAAAAAATATCCTTGGGAGATAGTTAACCAAGGGGTAGGGGGGAGAATAACACTCTAAAAATAGTTGTTTGTTCAAGATATAATCTGGAATAGTTCATTAGAAAAATTTTTAATCAAAATAATAAGAACAAGCCCAGTTGGTGTTGTTCAGTGATTGAGTATTGACCCATTAACCAGGAAATCATGGTTCGATTTCTGGTCAGGGCACATGCCCAGGTTTCAGGCTTGATCCCCAATATGGGGCATACAGGAGGCAGCTGATCAATGATTTTCATCATTCATGTTTCTATCTCCCTTTCCCTTTCCTTTCCTCTCTGAAATTAATAAAAAATAATATACATATACACTATATATATATATGAGAGAAACATGCAAATTGGCCGACCATACATTCGCTACATCCACAAGCCACACCCACCTGCCAATCAGGGTGAATATGCAAATTAAACCAACCAAGATGGCAGTTAATTTGCATATACGGTCAGAGAAGACTGAAGACAATGTAGAAGCCAAGTGCTGCAGAAGTGAGCAAAGCTGTGGAGAAGCAAGCAAGTGGGAATGGGGAGAAGGCAGGGAAGCAGGAGGGGCAGGGAGAAAGGAGAGAAGCAGGCTGGGGTGGGACTGCAGAGAAGGAAGGGAAGCAGACGGGGTGGGGGAGAAGGGAGAGAAGGAGTGGGGCAGCGGAGACCGCAGCAGGAAGCCCTATTGCAGGAATCTTCCTGCAAGGGGCATCTAGTACATATACAAATGTTTAAAAAATAACAAAAATGTTATGATCATATTTATCTGGTACACTGAATATGACAGCTCTCTAATGTATTAGCTATAAAATATTTTAATTTCTTCATATGAACAATAGGGATTACTAGTATTCTACCCCTAGGGACTACTGTGCAATGGTTACAAATAAAATATTTATAGAGAACCTCTCTGCTTGGAGAATAGGAGATACTTGATTATAGCTGTTGTTGTTGTTGTTGTTGTTGTTATTATTATTATTATTATTATTACTGTGGTAGCCATGCAGGTGCTCTGCTCAGACCTTTAACAAAGAACCTGCTGTTCCAGTGCAAGGAGTGCAGCTAGCTCTTAGTCCCCAGATATTTAGAATCTGCTTTGGCTTTCAGCTGAGGCCATTATCTTTTTAGGCAAACCTCAGCCAATGTGTGAGCACAAAAGCCCAACATAAGATTCCTATAATGGGCAATCTTTGCTCCAGACCTCCCCACTGGGCGAGCTTCTGTCAGACTTGCAGTGAAGACTGGGGCTCTTTTCCTCAGAACTGCCTATGAGGTGGCAGTCATCTCCTACTCAGCCCCATGGCTGCCCTCAGACCCTTGTGAAACCCAAGATCATACAAAAGAGGACCAAGAAGTTCATCCAGCACCAGTCATACCGATATGTCAAAATTAAGTGTAACTGATGGAAAACTAGATGCATTGACAATAGGGTGCAGAGAAGATTCAAGGGCCATATCTTGATACCCTTGGTTATGGGAGCGACGGGAAAACAAAGCACATGCTGCCAAGTGGCTTCCTGGTCCACCACATCAAGGAGCTTGAAGTGCTGCTGATGTGCAACAACTCTCCCTGTGTTGAGACTGCTCATAGCTTCTCCTCAAAGAACCACGATGTCACTGTGAAACAGAGCAGCCCAGCTGGTCATCTGACTCCCCAATCTAATGCCAGGCTGTGCAGTAAAGAAAATGAATAGACAGATTGTGTGCACATTGTATTTGTGTTAATAAAACCACAAAATTCTGCCATCTGGCATTAAAAAAGAGACAGACTGAGGCTACTCCCGCCCAATCCTGCTTCCTCCCTGCTTTTATTTCTCATGTATTACCTGCTCCAATGCACCATATACTAGTAAACTCTTAATCCTGTCCGAATATTTTTGTACCAAATGACATAACTGTCAACTATCAGTCCAATTACAAAATATTTACCTGAATAGACTGTAAGTATAGCATCTCTGCATTTCCTCCTAGATTTGTTAAGAAATTATGCATATCTAAATCCCAATAAGTACATTTTCTTTTCATAGTTTTTTCAGAAAATAGTAAAAGACCAGTGCTTACCAATGCAGGTTCTAGCGGCTGAGGCAGCAGAACACTGGTAACTGATTTACCGCCTGCATTACTTTTAAGAACAGACCTCTGTTGAGATGATGGAATCTTAATTTTTAGATGAGAGCTTAACTTTGTTTGAAAATTTATGTCTCTAGATTCAGGATCTTTTCCAGGCTGAAACAAATTCATAATTATGAAATTCCACCCACAGGCTATAAAATAACCTGTAGCACTTCTCAGATGTTTTTGTTGTTGTTGTTGTTGTTGTTGTTGTAATCTCTAATAATAAAAGCATAATATACTAATTAGGCTGGACAGCTAAACGACCTTCTGGACATCCTTCTGGACAAAGCCACTGTGGTGGGGGCCGAGGCAGAGGCGGTTAGGGGCGATAAGGCAGACAGAGTGGTTAGGGGTGATCAGGCAGGCAGATGAGCAGTTACAGGCATCAGGCAGGCAGGTAGATTGGTTAGAAATAATCAGGCAGGCAGGCAGAGGGGTTAGGGGTGATCAGGCAGGCAGGCCAGAGAGCTGTTAGGAGCCAGAAGTCCCAGATTGTGAGAGGAATGTCCAACTGCCAGTTTAAGCCTGATCCTGCTGTGGGACCGTGCCTAAATTGGCAGTTAGTCATCCCCAGAAGGGTCCCAAATTACAAGATGATGCAGACCAGGCTGTCATATTCCTTCCTTTTCTACAAATTTTGTGCACTAAGCCTCTAGTATATAATTGTTACAATTAAGATATATACTATCCTATTATCTGTGCTCTCAATTTGAAAAAAAGTTTTAAACTTAAAATCTTTTTTTTTTAATCTAAGATTTTCTAGTCTGGCTGGTGTGGTTTAGTGGTTGAGCATTGACCTATAAATCAGAAGATCACGGTTCAATTCCCAGACAGGGCACATGCCTGGTTTGCAGACTCCATTCCCAGTAAGGGGCGTAAAGGAGGCAGCTGATCAATGATTCTCTCTCATCATTGATGTTTCTATTTCTCTCTTCCTTTTCCTTCTTTTCCAAAATCAATAAAAAAAATTTTAAGATTTTCTATACAAAAATATGTTACAAGACAAAATGGTTTTCAATATACTCAGCTCAAAAAATTCCCTACCACATTTGTTTTTCCTACCACAGCACTGGTTCTTAAGGCGGCTTCTGTTCATGTGTTTTTGCACCAGAAAGTTGTGATTCTCTATATTCACCTGTCTGTCTTTCCAAGTTTTGGTGCAGCAACATGTCCTGTGACTTTACTTATTTCATGGATCAAAAAATGAGTTGTTGATTTTTCAGTTTGTTCAGGTTTTTACTTATTATAACAGAGTTGTGACTTCTTTACACACTGGACTGGAAATTGGAAGTCTTCCAATTTTTCAAAATCGTTTATAAAACTTGACCTCTAAGTAGCATTCAACATTGTTGACCACTCCCACTTTCAGGAAAAACTCTTTTCTTGGCTTCTATGATACCATATTCTGCTTATTTTCCTCCTTCTCTCTGTTCATTCTTCCTTTTCTATCTGAATGTAGATTTTTCCAAGGATTGATCCTGAACCCCTTTCTCTTCTGAACTCTATATCCTTTCCATTTCCATGAACTTAATAGTATCTATACTATTTTTCTGTTTTCCTGGCTTACACATTTATAGCCAATGGCTCTTCTAACATTTTCATCTCCATGTGCCCTCAGACCTCCTGCCTTTCCTATCACATTAAGTAGCACTTTTATCCATCAAAGCTGCTTAAGACAGAAATCTGTCTTTGTTGACACCTCTCACTCCATTCTCTAAATTCAATCCTTGAACTTTATAGGCAAAATTATCGAGTCCATGCATATTTCTTGTCATCTCTACATCCTAGACATCAAAAATCTTTGTAACTTTATACTAATGAATCTTTCTGCTGACACTCTTGCCCTCTTTGTATCAATGTATCAATGACATTATGGTGTATTGGAAAGAACACAGGTTTTAGATCCAGAAAGACCTACCAAAGCTTCTAAACATACTGGTTAACATGTAAACCTCATTTTTCTCAGCTATAAAAAGGTGAAAACAAAGCAAGCAAACAAAAAGTTTACCTGATAGGAATGCATAAAGAGAGATATAATTAATGAAAAGTACTTAGAATAATGCTTAGTGTTGAGTAGTCATGTAGATAGTAGCTCCTGCTATCTAAATAAAGTCCAAAAACCTGTAGATTCCAGGCCTAATGTAGTAATTCACACGTATTCCTCAGCCTAAAGCACTGCTCTGGCTACATAGAAAATGTCTTATTTTTGCCTTAATGATTAATAGACATCCAATTATCCAAAATGAAGTTGGAAAATTTATAAATTTTAATTATCTTCCATTAAACTTATATGTGTTATACTATATTCATGTAACAATAATGTAATATAATTGCTAAACGCAAAAAGTGTTTTAAACTATTAACTTAAATAGCCTAAAAATTATCCCTATAAAAGTGTTGGTTAAAAGTATGTCCTATGTTAATAAAATTTACAGTTTATGTAGTTATTCTGCTTTAATACTTGCTTTTTTCTTTGTTTTTTCAGATGTTAAAGGGTAAGTTTTCTCAGCAAGTACTTCACAAGCTGCATTATCTACAAATAAAAACATACTTTATAATTTTAATTATTTAACTTATCATTCACTCTAAGTACAAAAAACTCAAATATGAAAAACACTAATTTAATAACTGACTTTGTAATAATTTTAGAAAAAAAATATATATGTTGACTAATCTGACAGATATAGTAGGATAAAGTATGCTTTAAAACATCTTTATCTCAAGAGTCCCAGGTTTTACAGGAGTAAATAAACTCTAAATAAAATGCTGATAGAAAAGTTGCAATAGAAAGAGAAAGCCTGGCCTGGCTGGTTTGACTCAGTAGATAGAGCATCAGCCTGGGGACTGAAGGGTCCCAGGTTTGATTCCAATGAAGGGCACATGCTTGGGTTGTGGGCTTGATTCCCCTTAGGGGGCATGTAGGAGGCACCCATCCATGATTCTCTCTCATCATTGATGTTTCTCTCTCTCTCTCTCTCTCTCTCTCTCTCTCTCTCTCTCTCTCTCTCTCTCTTTTTTTTTTCTCCTTTCCTCTCTGGAATCAATAAAAATATATTTTAAAAAAATAAAGAAAGAGAGAACCTAAAAAATCTCAGGAAAGTGGAAATGGAAGGGTAATTAATGAAGAATTTTAATCACATACACTTTCTCTACTTATTGAAATGTAAATAATTATTGCAGTCAATTTCCTCTGATGTCTGGTAATATCAGTGAATGAAAGTTTGAGGAGAAAGGATTTTCAGAATTTCAATCTATCTTTTTCTAAATATTTATTAACTATAAAGAAAAACTAGTAACTTTATAATGGAGAAAACCAACAGAAACCACCTTAATCAAGTACTGAGGTTTTCTTCTGTGTTATGGGGGGAAAAAAAAAAAAAAAAAAAAAAAAATATATATATATATATATATATATATATATATATATATATATATATATATATATATATATATAAAACTCACCTAAAATTGCAGAGAGGTTTGAAAACTGTGGTGCATTCTCTATTGCTACTGCTTTACTGGTATCCAGAAGAGTAGAATTTTTGCATTGCATGTATTCTTCCAACTTGGGATGCTCCCAATCTAGCAAAGCAGGGAGAAATGGCACAAAACTGAACAATAGCACGCAAGTGGCAGGTTACCTTTCCTATTTCAGCTTAGGTCCCCAGCCCATGCACAGTTTGGATAACTAACATTTTGGATGAGAAAGAGAAAAAACACAGGCCTTGGCCTATCCCCATGCTCTAACCCACTTTCTTTCAGACTTTGCCCAAGAAGATTATTGATCTAAGGGACAGACAGCACACATGGGAGCTCCGTGTCATATTTTACATATGTTATACCTATGTCCCATTAACTATCATATCACTAAATAACAGTGTTATTACTTGATGTCAGTTTTAAACTCTCCATTGAGTTCCCACTATGGGAAAATGAGGCTATTGGCAGTGTCCTCTGCAGTCCTGGATCTGTCTCTTGCTTCAACAGAACAGGACAGAATAGACCCAGGAATCCCTCTTCTTCCAGCCTCTGGCCACTCTCCAATGTCTTATCCAATTACCAACTTTAGAACCACCTCTAAGACCAGCCAACACACCGGTTTGTTTGTTTGTTTTTCTACCTTAACTCCTCATTGCTGAACAACCATGAGCTCCCAAATTTGGCAAAATTATTCTACTGAGGTGAAAGCTGTGATCAACCACGTGGCCAATCTGTACCTGAGGGCCTCCTACACCCACCTTCTCTGGCCTCTATTTCAACCATGATAATGTGGCTCTCGAGGGTGGGGGTCACTTCTTCGAGTGGAAAAGAATCCAGAGAGTGGGGAGCATTTCTATTTGTTTGTTTATATTGTTTAAAGTATTACAGGTCTCCTTTTTTCCCATTGACCCACCCTCCGGCCACTTGGGCATGCCTCCACCCCCACAGTGTCTGTGTCCATTGGTTATGCTAATATGCATGCATACAAGTCCTTTGGTTGATCTCTAACCCCCTCTCCCCTAGATCTCTTTTTGTTCATCAGTTTATGTTGCTCATTATATTCCATAAATGAGTGAGATAATGTGATATTTATCTTCCTCTGACTGGCTTATTTCACTTAGCATAATGCTCTCCAGGTCCATCCATGCTGTTGCAAATGGTAAGAATTCCTTCTTTTTTACCACGACGTGGTATTCCATTGTGTAAATGTACCACAGTTTTTTAATCCACTCATCTGCTGATGAGCACTTAGGCTATTTCCAAATCTTAGCTATAGTGCTGCTATGGACATAGGGGTGCATATATCCTCTGTGATTGGTGCTTCTGATTTCTTAGGATATAGTACTAGAAGTAGGTTACTGGGTCGAATGGGAGTTCTATTTCTTAAAGTTGCAAAACAAGCACAGAGGCCATTCTCTTCCAGGATGTGCTGAAGCCTACCCAGGATAAGTGGGCAAAACTCAGGATGCTATGGAAACCACCCTGGCTTTGGAAAAGAATCTGAACCAGGCCCTTTTACAACTGCCTGCCCTGGGTTCTAATAGCACAGACCTTCATCCCTGTGACTTCCTGGATGAGGAGGTGAAACTCATCAAGAAAATGGGCAACCAACTGTCTAACAGCAGGCTGACCAATCCCTAGGCTGGGCTGAGTAGTATCTCTTCAAAGGCTCACCCTCAAGCACAACTAGGAGTCTTTGGAGCCCCAAGGCTTTTGAGGGGTCCTCAGTATCACCTGGTGTCTGGCTTTTATCTGAGCCTCTCCCCAAAATACTAGCCATTCTTTTAACCACCCTGAAGCCCTCTCCCATGCATTGAACCAAATGAAACAATGAAGTTTTTTGCAGTAAAGAATAAAAAGAGAAAGAAAAATGAGGCTATTCTTTTTACATCCCTGTTTCCACCTTTCCCATCCTTTCCATTGTCCTCATATTATTATATCACATATTTAGATTAACATTCAATATAGACATTATGACAATGTCTACATAAAAAAATGCTATTTATTCTTGTGGTATACTATGACTATCTTTTGCTTTTCCTGGGGTTAATAAAAGTCTTTTTGTTTAGTTTTCTCTATTTTTCTTCTAGTCGATCCAAACTACAAAATAGTATAAATCCATCCAATTCCATTCTCTGATGTTCTGAAGTTCATTTTGGTGTTTTTCATCTGTTGTGCTAGACATATTGTGGCCCTTTTAAATGAGAATATTCTTTAAAATTTTTTTAATTGATTTCAGAGAGGGAGAGGAAGAAAAAGGTAGAGACATGAATGATGACAGAGAATCATTGATTGGCTACCTTCTGCATGCCCCCTATTGGGGGAGGGGCCCACAACCCAGGCATGTGCCCTGACCAGAAATTGAACTGTGACCTCCTGGTTCATAGGCCAAATGCTCAATTATTGAGCCACACGGCCAGGCATTGAGGCTGACTGATATTCCAATTAGATGTATATACTATATTTTCTTTATACATTCATCTATCCATAGACATTAGATTATTTCCACACTTGGAGATATATATAAATATAAATATAAATATTTATAAATATAAATATAAATATTCCCTGGCGGGAAGAAGACTGGGGCTCCAGACTGCTCTGAACGCCACCTCCAATTCCACTTCCAACTGAATTGAACCCTAGTTCCGGGCTTATTGGGGGAGAGCCTAGACTGTTTGGTAGCAGGCGAAAATCGAGGGCACCTTTCTCTCAGAGGTGCTTGCAGCGAGTACTAAAGGACCCTGAGACTCAGGAGCCACATAGGGCGGGGCTGACGGAACCCAAGGCTGTAGGCTCCACCTTGAAACTCCGCCCCATCAGGGAAGCTGCGAGAATGCGAAATAGATCACAAACGAAAGAATTGGAGGACAAAAAGCGACTGGATATAGAGTACAAATCTACGCTTTCAAGAATTTCCTAGAAAAGGTCGATAAGACCTATGAGGATATGAAAAGGGATCAACTAGAATTAATAAGAAATCAACAAGAAATGATAAGGGATCAACAAGAAACAAGACATTGTCTGAAATAAAAAAATATTATACAGAGTCCAGAAAACAGAATGGAACATCGCAAGAATCAAGTAAAAAATTTGGAACATAAAGAGCCAGAAGACACTTCTCCGCAGAAGCAAGAAGACAAGAGAATCCAGAAAATTGAATATAATGTAAGAAACCTCTGGGACAACTTCAAGCGAGCCAACATCAGAATTATGGGGGTCCCAGAAGATGAGAGAGAGCAAGATAACGAAAACATACTGAAAGAAATAGTGACAGAAAACTTCCCCCACCTGGGGAAAGAATTAGACTTACAAGTCCAGGAAGTGCACAGAACTCCAAACAAAAGGAATCCGAAGAGGACCACACCAAGACAAATCATAATTAAAATTCCAAGAGCAAAAGACAAAGAGAGAATATTAAAACAGCAAGAACAAAACAGGTAGTTACCTATAAAGGAGCACCTATACGATTGTCAGCTGATTTCTCAACAGAAACCATGCAGGCCAGACGGGAATGGCAAGAAATATTCAAGGTGATGAATAGTAAGAATCTACAGCCAAAGATAATCTACCCAGCAAAGCTATCACTCAGAATCGAAGGCCAGATAAAGAGCTTCACTAATAAAAAAAAGCTAAAGGAGTTCATCACCACCAAACCAGAATTATATGAATTGCTAAAGGGGGTTCTTTCGGAAGAGAAAGTAAATAAAGATAAGAATTATGAACAACAAATACGTAACTATCAACAAGTGAATCTAAAAACCAAGGAAATTAAAAAAAATCTGATAAACAATATTAACTGGTGAATATAATAGAATCAGGTATGGAAGGGGAGTGAACTGATGATTCTTGGGGAAAAGGGGAGAGGGGAATGTGGGAAGAGACTGAGCAATGGAGGGGGGGGAGGAACATTTGTAATAATATGAATAAAAATTTATTTAAAAAAAAAAAAGAAAGAAAATTAGGTGAATGTATACACATGGATTTATGTCTGGGTTCTCTATTCTGTTCTGCTAGTCTATGTCTCTTTATGCCTGTACCATATGATTACTGTAAAATAAAATTTGCAATATTTTGAAATCAAGAAATTCTGATTTTCTATCTAGACATTCTGTTCATTATTTGAAAGTGAGGTATCTGAATTCTCCTACTATTATATTATGTTATTGCCTGTTTTTGCTTTTCGTTATGTCAGTGTATACTTTATATGTTAGATATTCTGATGTTGGGTGTATATTTATTTAAAATTGTTATATGTTCCTGGTGAGTAGAACCTTTTGCCATTATGTAATGTCCTTTTTTTTTTTATCTTTTGAGATAGTTTTTTTTACTTAATATCTATTTTTATCTAAGTATAGCCATTGCTCTATTTTGGTCATCATTTACATAGAATGTTTTTTTTTTGTATCCCTTCACTTTCAACATGTGTCCTTAAATATAAAGTGAGTCAGTTTTTTAAAATCCACTCAGCCACTGTTTTTTGATTGCAGAGTTTAACCGACTTACATTTAAAGCAATTATTGATAGGAAAGGACTTACCATTACTATATTGTTAATTGTTTTTCTGTTTGTTTTTGCAGTCCCTTTGTCCCTTTTCCTGTGTTGCCATATCCTTTGGGTTTTATTGATGTACATATTGACATGCTTTGACATCTTTCTATTTTTATTTTGTGTATATTCTATAGATATTTTCTTTGTGGTTTCCATGAAACTTAGTTTTAACATAAAACTATAAAACTAACATTTAATAAAAATTTCAGTCATATACAAAAACTCTATATTTTACTTTTCTCCTCACAGTTATTGATGTTACAATTTACATCTATTTACATTGTGTATAATTAACATATTTTTATAATTATAATTATTTAAAATACCATCTTTTAAGTTTTATACTAGAATTAAAAGTGAATTACAAATTACAGCATTAACTATTCTGTACAGACTATTCTACATACCAGTGTTTTATGCTTTCATATGCTTTTATGTTGCTGTTTAGAATCTTGTTTCAATTTGAAGAACTCCCTTCAGCGTTTCTTATCAGGCATGTCAAGAAATGATGATTAACCCCTTCAGCTTTTATCTGGAAAGGTCCTTATCACTTCATTGTGATTTTAAGAATAGTTTTGCTAGTTATAGTATTCTTGACTGACAGTTTTTTTCTTTCCCCACTTTGACTATATCATTTCACTACCTTCTGGCCTGCAAGGTTTCTAATAAGAAATATATTTATGGTCTCATGGGGTTCCCATATACATATCAAGCCACTTTTCTATTGCTGCTTTTAAAATCCTCTTTGACTTTGACAATTTGATTATGTGTACTAGTGTACATTTCTCTGAGTCATCTTACTTGAGGTTCTTTAGGCTTCCTATAATTGAATACACATTTCTTTTCCCAGGTTTGGGATTTTTTTAGACATTGTTTCTGTGACTAAGCCTCTCTCTCTGGAATATTTTGATCTGTTTGATTTTACTTCACTCTGAATTCACTAATTCTTTCTTCTGCTTGATCTAGTTGGCTTTTGAATCCTTTTATTAGATTTTTCATTTCATTTATTATATTCCTTGACTCTTATATTTCGGTTTGATTCTTAAAAAGTTTTCTATGCCTTCCTTGGAATTCTCACTTATTTCATGCATTGCTCTCCTAAGTTCATTGAAGATCTTTAATGATGATTATTTTGAATTTTCTGTTAGGTAAATGAGATGAAAACTGGCATGCTAGACCAAGCTGCTGTTTTTGTTCTCAGCACTCATCAGGCTTCTAGAGTATGTCAGGTCCCAACTGTACTCTGGAACACGCAAAAACAATTCCAATCCTTTGGATAGCTCAAAAAAATTTTAGAATAATTGATGCATGGTTCAGTCCTTTCCTTCACTTGCAGGGATTATCTTGGAGCTAGGGATTTCATGCCAATTATATGGCACCATGCTGGAAGTGGGGTTTATGGTGGATGGATGTCTTAAATTTTTTTCCTGGCTTTAATGTAGCTGGTTTCATGCTTTTCTGGGGTTAAGAAGCCCCTCAACTAGTTTCTTTATTTCTCACAAATGAGATTAGTTTATGTATTTCTGTTGAATTGGTGTGTCCATGAGGGTAGGCGGATCCATGGCTTCCTATTCCAACACCTTTCTGATGGCATTCCCGTATTTTGCTTTGTTTTTATCTCTATGTTTTATACTAGAGACTTCCTCAGAAGTCTGGTGATCCCTGGCTCTCTGATAATATTTAAGAGGGAGCCCTAAAAACCTCAGTGGACTCTCTGTGGCCTAATTGTGGCTTGTCACAAGGTTGGCTTCACTGTAGGGTGTTCTTGTGAATTTCATCAAAGGACTATTGTAGTCACTGTCTTTAGATATGTTTTTTAAGGTTGCTCAGATTTCTTAGGAAAGTGTCTTCCATTCTCCAGTCTGGAAGATTCAAGTCTGGGTGCTAGTATTCTGGAAACTGAGCAGAGAAACGAACTGTTGGGTTGGGATGGGAATAGGCATTGGTAAACAGGTTCCACAATTTACTTTTTATTTATTTATTTATTTATTTATTTATTTATTTATTTATTTTAAATATATTTTATTGATTTTTTACAGAGAGGAAGGGAGAGAGATAGAGAGCTAGAAACATCGATGAGAGCTGAAACCGGTTTGGCTCAATGGATAGAGCGTCAGCTTGGGGACTGAAGGGTCCCGGGTTTGATTCCAGTCAAGGTCATATACCTTGTTTGCGGGCATATCCCCAGTAGGGGGTGTGCAAAAGGCAGCTGATCGATGACTCTCTCTCATCGATGTTTCTAAGTCTCTATCTCTCTCCCTTCCTCTCTGTACAAAATCAATAAAATATATTAAAAAAGAAAAAGAAAAAGAAAGAAACATCGATGAGAGAGAAACATTGACCAGCTGCCTCTTGCACACCCTCTACTGGGGATGTGCCCACAACCAATGCACATGCCCTTGACCAGAATCGAACCTGGGACCTTTCAGACCTCAGGCCGATGCTCTACCACTGAGCCAAACCGGTTTTAGCAGGTTCCACAATTTAGAATGTACAATTTAATTTACTCTTTTCTAATACATTTTTATTGATTTCAGAGGGAAGGGAAAGGGAGAGAGATAGAATCATCAATGATGAGAGAGAACCATTGACCGGCTGTCTCCTACATGCCCCCTATTGAATCAAACCCTCAACATGGGCATGTGCCCGTGAGCAGAATTGAACTGGGCTCTATCCACTGAGCCATACTGGTTAGAGCTATAGTTTCATTTAAATCCCCCATCTTCGGAGAAACCAAGATAGTGGCATAGGTAAACACCTGAAATTACTGCCTTGCACAACCACTTCAAAACTAAAATGAACATCATCCAGAACCACGGGAAGGCTGGCTGAGTGGAAATTCTACAACTAGAAGAAAAGAAAAAACCACACTGACTCTGAGGAGGTGTGGAAGTAAAGTGCAGAGGTATGAAGGCGCACATGCAGAAAGGGCTGGCAACTGAGGATGCGGTTGTCTTTTTCAATTGGGAGGGAGACACAAGCTCCCAATTACTCTGAATTCCAGTTCCAGGCAAAACTCTGGGGCCCCAGAATCGTATTGGGAGAAACTGCACTGTCTGGCTTTGGACGGAACTGAGGGCAGCTTTATCTGAGGTACTTGCAGCAATTACTGCAGGACATTGAGACCCGGGGCCTCTTAGGACAGGGCTAAGGATCAGCCATAGCTGTTTGCTCCACACTGCTGATCCCCTGAAACCTCATTCCACCAAAGCTGTGCAGAGAATCATTTGCATATGAATGGCCTGGCCCTTTGCAATCTAAAATTACCTAACAAACTACAGCTGGATCAGAGAGCCCCAGAACTTTCAAAAGAAGGCCCAAGACCCCACAGAAACTTGCATTGCTTCACAGCCGGGCCTCATCTTGGCACCTCTAACCCCAAACAAAGAAGAGGAATCTGCAAATATCTCCTAGCTCCTTCTGGGTGGCCTTAGGCAGAGGATAAATTAGCACCTCCTTGGAGATTCAAGAGCCAGTGTACCCAGGGATCAGAGTGGGATCATCCAGATTACAACTCTTCAGATCCATAAGGGACATACTCAGAGGGAAGACTCAGTGAGCAACAAAGCCCCACTAAAGCAAATCTTGACCCATAGGGTGTCTCCAGCACAGAAGTTCTCCTATTGTAGACACAGCTGATCCTCACAGCCAATTGGCCTGGAGGTCAATTCCTCCCAGTGATACCAACAACAATCAAGACTTAACTACAAAAAGGCTGTACACACAATCCACAAATGGGTGCACCAAGAGTGTCCACTTCAGGTAATTGGGGAAGCTGAGCCACTGGGCCCTATAAGACCCCTAGCACATAAAGCCACACTATCAACACAAAAAAGCAGCCAAAATGCAGACAAAGAAACGGATCACAAACAAAAGAAATGGAGGGGAACAAACAACTGAATATAGAGTTCAAAACAGGGTTATAAGGTATTTCAAGAATTTTCTAGAAATCGCTGATAAATTTAGTGAGACCCTTGAGGATATGAAAAAGGGACACCTAGAAATTAAGCACACAATGACTGAAATAAAGAATAAAAAATATATAGAGATCCAACAGCAGACTAGAGGATTATAAGAATCAAGTCAAAGATTTGAAATACAAAGAAGCAGAAAACACTCAACCAAAAAATCAAAAAGAAGAAAAAAAAATACGAAGTAGTTTAAGGAGCCTCTGGGACAACTTCAAGCGTACCAACATCAGAATTATGGGGTTGCCAGAAGAAGAGAGAAAGATATTGAAAACCTATTTAAAGAAATAATGACCGAAAACTCCCCCCATCTGGTGAAAAAAATAGACTTACAAATCCAGGAAGTGCAGAGAACCCCAAACAAAAGGAATCCAAAGAGGACCACACCAAGACACATCAGAATTAAAATGTCAAAAGCAAAAGAAAAAGAAAGAATATTAAAAGCAGCAAGAGAAAAACAGTTAGTTACCTACAAGGGAGCACTCATACAATTGTCAGTTGATTTCTCAACAGAAACTATGCAGGCCAGACGGGAGTGGCAAGAAATATTCAAAGTGATGAATAGCAAGAACCTACAACCATGATTACTCTACCCAATAGAGCTATTCAGAATTGAAGGTCAGATAAGAAAAAACTAAAGGAGTTCATCACCACCAAACCAGTATTATATGAAATGCTTAAAGATATTCTTTAAGAGGAAGAAAAAAAGGTAAAGAAAAAATTATGAACAACAAATACATATCTATCAACAAGTGAATTTAAAAATCAAGTGGATAAAAAATCTGATGAACAGAATAACTGGTGAATATAATAAAATCAGGGGCATAGAAAGGGAGTAGACTGACAATTCTTGGGGGAAAAGAAGTGTGAGGGATGTGGGAAGACTGGACAAAAATCATACAACTATGAATGAGGACAGTGTGGTGGAGGGTAAGAGTAGAGGGTGCAGTGGGAACCGGGTGGAGGAGAACTGTGGGGGGAAAAAAGAGGAACAACAATAATAATTTGAACAATAAATATTTACTTAAAAAATAAAAATAAATAAATCCCCTCTCTTCTGTGTTTAATACATTATCTGAAGAAGTTGGCTTTTTCTGTATAAAACTAGTAAATTACTCCAAAATTTCAGTGCCATAACATGAAAGCATTTATTTATTTCCTTGTCTACTGGTTGGCTCAAATAGCTCTGCTTTAGATTATAGTCTGCTGATCAACTGGGAAGCCCTCTTCACTCTGCAGATTGCCTGGCCCATTCTGCTCTGTGCCTGTTATTCAGGAGTCCCACAGAAGCTAATTAGGATATATTCTTCTCTTGATGGCAAACATATAAAAGAACAAGATGACCATTTAAACATATTTCAAAGGTTTGCATGTTTTATTCACTAATATCATATTGCCAAATAAGTCACATTGCCAACTCCAAAACCTAAGTGTGAAAAGGAGGTTTTGGTGAGGAAGGAAACTATGCTTTCTTAAAAAGATCATTATTTATTGGAAGATTGTGGATAAAGGAACAATTTCTATAGTGGAGCAACTTAAAATTGAAATTATTTTCTTACCTAAATAATCTGATCCTCTGAAGAGTTCAGGTGATGGAAAGCTACTTAAATTCTCTTCAAAACCCTTGCATTCTGTAGAAGAATCTGTGATTGAATAGCTTAGAAGAGAGCTAGAAATATCATGCTGCAAACTTGATCCTGTAGAACAAACAATCAAAACGGACATAATATTTAAATAGTAAACAAATTCAAAATCTTAAGAATTCAAATTTGTAGAAATGTACTTGCAGTTGTATGTTAAGAATGTGAAATTGCTTCCACATACAATTGAAAAAACATACTATTAGTAAAGCATTTTAATTTCATCTTAGAAAATAATTATTTTTGATGTAGAGAAAATGCATTATAACTCTTTTCCATTGTTTTTCAAAGTTTTATAACTTACTCCTTCCCTACTTTGGTTCAGTTATAATTCTTGACTCAAAAATCTAAATTTTCTATGTGAGTTACCCACCAACTACCTGAAGAGAAGAAAGGCGATTCTAGTAATTCCATTTAGAAAATAATGTGCCTAAATGTAGACAAATAGGTCAAAGGAATTGAAGAGAGAGCCCAGAAATAGATTCACATATATAAGAGCAAAGGCAATTCAGTTGAGAAAGAATATTTTTTTTAAAAAAATATGCCAGAACTGAATACCCATATGCAAAATAAAAACAAAACAAAAAATATGCACTCATATATTCAATCATATAACAAATTAACTACTGATGTATCATAGATCTAAATATAAATGCTAAAACTATAAAACTTCAACAACAAAAAAAAAACCAACACAGAGGAAAAAAAACTTCATGATACTGGTTTAGATTTCTTTGACATAACAATAAAAAGATGAGTCATTAAAACAATAGTAATGATAAATTAGACTTCATCAAATTTAAATTTTTTCTTCAAAAAAAGACTGTTAATATGAAAAACAAGCCACAGATTAAGAGAAACATTTGCAAATGCAGTGGAATTCAGAATATAAAAAATTGGCCCAGCTAGTGTGGCTCAGTGGTTGAGGGTCAACCCATGAAACAGTAGCTCACAATTTGAGTCCTGGTCAGGACACATGCCCAGTTGCTGGGCTTGATCCTCAGTGGGGTATGTGCAGGAGGCAGCCAGTCAATGATTTTCTGTCATCACTGATGTTTCTCTCTCCCACCCTGAAATCAATAAAAATAAATGTTCAGTAAAAGAATCCTATATAATAGAAGGGTAATATGCAAATCGAACAGCAGAATGACTGGTCAGTATGATGTGCACTGACCACCAGGGGGCAGACGCTCAATGCAGGAGCTGACCCCTGGTGGTCAGTGTGCTCCTATGGGGGAGCACCATTCAGCCAGAAGCTGGCTCAAGGCTGGCGAGTGCCTTCACAACAGCAGCGCTAAGGATGGGCCTAAGCTGTCAGTGGACATCCCCTTTCGGCTCCTGGACTGCGAGAGGGCACAGGCTGGGCTGAGGGCCCCTCTCTTCCCCAGTACACAAACCTTGTGCACCGGGCCTCTAGTTTAATAATAAGGGGGGCGGAGATCTCAGTAAGAAAACGGGCAAAATATTTTAACACAGAACTTCCCATACTTTGAGGTCTTAAATTCATTCTTGTAAGAATGGACTTGAATAAAGAATTTTCCAGCCGAGACCGGTTTGGCTCAATGGATAGAGCGTCGGCTTGGGGACTGAAAGGTCCCGGGTTCGATTCTGGTCAAGGGCATGTGCCTTGGTTGCAGGCATATCCCCGGTGGGGGGTGTGCAAGAGGCGGCTGATCGATGACTTTCACCGATGTTTCTAGCTCTCTATCTCTCTCCCTTCCTCTCTGTACAAAATCAATAAAATATATTTAAAAAAAAAAGAATTTTCCAATAAATTTTGTGATAGAACTCTTTTCACAGTTAATTTCTATTCATCTCTTTTAATATATAATTTCTACTCTTCTTCAGATATAAATTAAATTGCTATTCCCTCATGGAAGCCCACCCTAATCTCCCAACCAAAACTGAATTAGTTACACTAAAGTCAATCCCTTTTTTGTAGTACTTACCACAATTGTAATTTTCTGGTCTGTTAGAAGATGAGGGCCAGAGCCCAGGCTGAAGGGCTCATCTTAGACTAGAGAAAAACACCTCTTTCACTGAGATGGGAAAGTGTCAGAGATACTAACCGATGCATATGCTTATAAGAAAGAAAACTGAGGAAGTTCACATCTGACAGTCTTACCTGATACTAGTTCACTAGCTGATGAACTGTCAACCTGGAGATCATCAGCCATTGAATCCTATGTGAAATAAGAATTCAAGATAACACAAATTATGAGATTGAGTATTTTTATATTATAATATTTATCACATTGATTGGTCACTTTGAAAATGAAAAACTAATGTCAACTTTGTATATTAGTTTCATATGTATAATAGATTCTCTTAGCTTATTGATCACAGATATAATTTGGTACTTAATATTAAATCTGAAAATAAATATTAAAATATAATATTATAGACATATCTAGGGAGTTAACAAAATAACTGCCAATTAACTACTACAGATAGCCCAGCAACCAGAAGATAATATGAAACAAAATAGATCAAAAGGTTGACAGATAAGTCTAAAATACCAGAAATAAAATTAAAGGTAAAAAAATATGGAAATGTTTGTTACATGTGAGTATATAAAAGTATAAATTATCTTCAGTATACAATGAACAACTATTTCACAAAAAAGTAACACAAATGGCCAATGAAATAAGAGAAAAAGGTCTTACTTTTACTAGCATTCACAGAAATGTAAAGTGAAACAATATTTCACTTTTCACTATCAAATTTTACCCAATATGCTCAGGCCAGGCTGAGGGACCCCACTAGTGCATGAATCTGTGCAGCAGGCCCCTAGTATGCATATAAGATCCTTGGTTAATCTCTTCCTACTCTCCTCCCTCCCCTTTTCCCTCTGAGTTTCATCAGTCTGTTCTAGGTTTCCATGTCTGTGCATTGAGAGTCTGCCTCCTGGTGGTTAGTGTGCATCTTAGCTAATGGTCGAACAGTCAAATGGTTGCTTAGGCTTTTATATAAATAAATATAAATGACTCATTGGAAAGTATTTTTCTTGGGACAACAATCGAGGAACTCAAAAAAGTTCTGCAGTAAGATATCCACTGATATCTACAACAGCAAAACCTTGAAAACAATTTTCCTCCAACTACAGGAGAATAGTTATTCAAATTACAATATATTCATCTATAAAACAAAGCATTATGCAAGACACTAAAATTTAAATATTTTTATTGATTTTTTTTTTTTAGAGAGAAGAAGGGTAAGGGAGAGAGAGAAACAGTGATATGAGAGCAGAACATCGATTGGCTACCTCCTGCACACCCCCTACCCGGGTTCTAACCTGCTACCCAGGCATTTGCCAGGAATCCAACTGGCAACCTTCCAGTGTATGGGACAATGCTCAACCAACTGAGCCACACTGGTCAGGGTTCAAAAACATATTTTTGAAGAGTATTTAATATTAAAGGAATATACAGTAACATAATTTGTAAAATGAAAAAAGGCACAAAGTCAGAATAGAATATATAAAAAATAGAAGAAACTGCTTAAACACTTTTTGAATAATTTGAATCATCTACAAGGAACACTCACTAGTTATAATTGCTGAAACTGCCCTTCAATAAAAACAACAACAAAAAAAAAAACAAAAACAAGAGCATGCTATAGAGAAAATACTGGCCAACAAAGGAGCCAGAAACACACAATGGAATAGATAGCCTTTTCAATAAATGGTGCTGGGAAAATTGGAAATCCGCATGCAAATGAATATAACTGGATTACAGTTTGTCCTCATGTATAGAAATTAATTCAAAATGGACCAAAGAGCCCCAGCTGGTTTGGTTCAGTGGATAGAACGTTGGCCTACGGACTGAAGAGTCCCAGGTTCAATGCTGGTCAAGGGCACATGCCTGGTTTGTGGGCTCCATCCCCAGTAGGGGGAGTGCAGGAGGCAGTCAATATATATATAATTATATATATATAATTATTTATGTTTCTTTCTCTCTCCTCTCCCTTCCTCTCTGAAATATATATATTCTTATATAATATATATAGGAACATGACTATCATCTTTAATGCTTATATCAGATGAATCACAAATAAATTTTTAAATCTGAGTCTTTCCAAACTACTGCTATGCATCTTTAAAATACTGAACAGAGTCCATATTAAATGCAGTAGATCAAAAAGCTATATAACATTCTAAAGGTAATGAATCCTGTCTCTAGTTGTTAATGGGAAAACATGAAAGATTTTATATCTGTCATGCAGAAAATTAGCCAGTGACAAACTATTCTGAAATTTTTGTCAAGGGAAAGAAAAAAACAAAAAAGCATGACTATGAATCTGCCAGAATCAAAAATTCAAGGCTCTGTCTGAAGACTCAGCATCAATGTTCATAAAAACATTAAAACGTTATGTAGTCTCTATTGAACAAAGACCACATTGTATTTTCATCTGGAGGTACATCAGGTCCTGCCGATTTGTCCGCTAAGTGTATACACGGGTCATAGGAGAAACATACATACGCTCCATGGAGCCATCTTCTCATCCTCAGTCTCCTCTTCACTAGTGCTACTTTCTCGCAGGCTCTTCTCTCCTGAAACTCCTAAGTGAGAGCTAACAAACAAATAACACGATTAGTTTGCTCCCTCTGGACTTGGCTTTCCATGTCTCTCTTTCCTGTTGGCACACCGTTCAGAATCTGAAGGCTCTTTGGGGGACATCACTAGGGGAAAGGAAGGAGCCGAGTTGGTGAACTGCACCAACACCCAACTGATGCCAGGAATGCTTTCCTGGGTGTTTCCTCTCACTTGCTTTTAGGTAAGCTGGCAAAATTTTCTCTTTTAAAAAAAGAAATTACTATTTTCTGAAGTCACGTTTCTGGGTCTATTTTCTGAGAAGAACGAAATCGGCGTTTCTATTTACTTATTTTCCCTGTCGACTCCTAGAAGGAGAGTCCATTAGCGGTTAGGAAATCGGGATTGCAGGTTTGGGGAGGAGGCCAGGACGCACGGGGCTGTTCCTCGCGGCTACGCACCTGGGCAGCCCCGAGCTGCGCCCGCCCTGCCCGCTGTGCTCGGCCTTCTCGGCGATCTTCCGCAGCCCCGGGGCTCTGCCATGTCCTCTGCGGCCTGAGGGAGAGCGGGTCATTTCAGGGCAAACGCCGCCGTGGAGGCCAGGCTTCTGGCTTCTGGGGTCCCTGGGGGCGAGGCCCGGCTACCAACTCCCACCCGGACCCGCCCCGCCGTGCTCCCACCCGGGCCAGGCCGGCAGGGCGTACAGGGGGCGGCGGGCCGCCGGCTCGGGCCCGGGAGGGCCTCTGCCGCCTCGGGCGGGCCTCGGTCCGGCGCCGGCGTCAGGTTGAGCCTCTGGCCCGCCCTCTTCTTGCGGGAATAGACCCGCAGCGGCCACAGTGCCATCCTCTCGCAGGCCTCGGGCTCGGGGCCGCTGGGCCCTCCAGGCCTGTGTGGTCGTCTCCTGAGGAGCCGCTCTGCTGCCGGACGGAGTCCGCGTCCAGGGGCGCCCCGAGCAGCCCGAGAGGAGTGCGGGGAGGAAAGCAAAGGCCGCAAGACGCAGCCGGCCAGCCCGCTCCGCTCCCGCCTTTTTATGTTGGCCGCGCCGCGCGCTGAGGCTTCTGGGAAGTCGGGGCGCCGCCCTCCTGGGAGAGCCCAGGGGGTTGATGAGCAGGGGTGTGTGTGTGTGTGTGTGTGTGTGTGTGTGTGTGTGTGTGTGTGTGTGTGTGTGTGTGTGTGTGTGTGTGTGTGTGTGTGTGTGTGCGCGCGCGCGCGCGCGCTCCTGGGCCCGCCGCCCTCCTGACCCACTCGCGGTGATGGAGGGCTTGGTCTCTGAGCACCGGGAGCCTAGCGGGCAGCCCGGCTCAGGGCAGGCGGGTCAGAGGGGGACAGCATGTGAAAGCCGCAGGGAGTGTCCTCTTGAACAGTCAGCTTCAGTCATCTGGGGGCCGTGGTACTTGAGAAGTTACTCAAGCATTTGACAATTTGGGGTTCCAGAAGTTTCTTTTCAAGGACAAGCAGAATCCCTTAGCCCAGTGGGTCCACAAACTCATTGATCAACAGAGCCAAATATCAACAGTACGATTGAAATTTCTTTGGAGAGCTGAAAACCGACTGCTGTGCATGGGCCACAAAGTGTCAATAGCACTGCACTGCATGCCCACACGTAGTATTTTGTGGAAGAGCCACACTCAAGGGGCCAAAGAGCCGCATGTGGCTCACAAGTGAGCCGCGGTTCGCCGACCACTGCCTTAGCCCCTGTGTCAAGGTGGGAGATTTCACAGGGGACATCCCTCCTGGTTCCTGGGGCTCAGCACTTTTGCTCTGCTTAATTGGAGGGAACATAGGAATGACCTCCCTATGTCCACACACCCAGATTGAACCATCCGGCTGCATCTGATAAGCATACTGTGCACATAATAACCACCTTTTTTTTTTTTTTTAGAAATATAATGACACTTTATTCTTTTTTTCTATTTTCTTTCTTTTTATGTGAATCTTGTGATGTTATCACAACAAACATGTATTAATTACGGCTTTTATTTACTTATTTATTTGTTTTAACTAAAGAATTTATATGCAGATAGCATAACCCATGGACACAGACAATAGTGTGGTTAAGGCCTGGGGCTACAGATACAGAATAGAGGGGGTCAATAGGGGGAAAAATGGGACATCTGTAATACTTTCAATAATAAAAAGAAACTAAAAAACTAATAAAATAAAAACCATCTTTTAAAAAAAAATAACATTTCACAATATTAAAATGACTTTTGTAGCCGAAAATGACTTTTGTGGCTCAGTGGTATAGCATCGGTCTGCGGACTGAAGGGTCCCAGGCTCAATTCCTGTCAGGGGCATGTACATTGGTTGCGGGCACATCCCCGGTGGGGGGTGTGTGCAGGAGGCAGCTGGTCGATGTTGCTCTCTCAACGACGTTTCTGGCTCTCTATCTCTCTCTCTTCCTTTCTGTAAAAAATAAAAAAAATATATTTAAAAAAAATGACATTTGTAGAGATGAAACTACAAAAGTTATAAAGACTTTTTTGTGATGCTTCAATATTGTGTGACTATAAACACACACACTGAGTGGCCAGATTATTATGATCTCTGAACGCATAATAATCTGGCCACTCAGTGTATATCCTATATAATAAAATGCTAATATGCAAATTGTCCCCTAGACCGGACCCCACCCATGAACAAATTCATGCACCATGCCTCTAATATACATATATATCAGAGGCCCGATGCATGAAATTTGTGTTAAGAGTAGGTCTTCGGTCCCCTGGCTGCTGCAGCAGCTTCTCTCTGTCACCGGACCTGGGCTTCCCTCCAGCCCAGCTTTGTCCGGAAGGATGTCCAAAAGGATGTCCAGTCTAATTAGCATACTACCTTTTTTTAATTATAGATATCCTCTCACTCCATCCCCAAATACACAAACACCAATACAGGCATTCAGTCAGGAGTTTTAACTGAATCTCTACTATTTTCCTGTTAGACTGCTCCCATAGTTAGACTCAGGTTCTGCTCTCAAGTGTTTCATTTCAGTCATGTAATGGATTTGATTAGGTTTGGGACAGTCATGGAGATGCTACCTTCAATGAGAAAACAAGTTCCAAATTTTGAAGAGATTTCTGAAGAAAGGTTTTTGGAAAACAGCCAGTTTGTGGGTTTAGGATTCCCTGGAGCCCAGAGGAAATCGGTATGAATAATGTTTGTGTGTGTGTGTGTGTGTGTGTGTGTGTGTGTGTGTGTGTGTGTATGTGTTTAGGGATCCACTGAGCAGCTTCGATTTGTGATACCATCCACAGGTTTTAGAGTCCAACTGAAAACCAGTTTGTTTAGACTTACTTGTCAAGAATGAAAAAAAATAAGTATTAGATGAAATGTATCTTTAGGCATTACACTCTTAATGCTAAGCAACAAAGGGGGAAAAATATTAATAAAAGGACAAGGGTATCTTCATTCAATAGACTTGAGCATCCACTATGGCCCAGACTTTCTGCTACAAATTCAAGCAACTCACAGTGTGAGTGGGAGTGGGCAGAGGGACAATCAACCAGTCAACCATGTGGCCAGCTTCCCAGAGGAAAGAATACTTGAGCTGAGTTTTAAGAGATAAATGGTAGGAGGTCGAGTAACTAAAGGAAAGGGCGTTCTATAAAAAGGGGACTACAGGAGGCACAGAAGAACATGATGCTTTTAAGACACCACAAAAAGGAGTTGCTAAGATTGGAGCCAAGGCTCGGTGGGGGAAGGGCATGAGAAGAGGTGAGGGGCCTGTGTGCTGAACCAGGGCGTCTGAGCTTTATTCTGGAAACTGTGGGAAGTCATTGAAGGAATATTAAGCAGGAGAGGGGCATGACCAGACTTTCAATTTAGAAAGGTCACTATGAAATATGGATGGCAAAATTTGAGCAAGATGGGAGGGAAACGAAGACTGACTAAGAGAGCACTGTAATATTCCAGACAAGAGATGAGAGTAGAGCCAATTACCCACTAAAAGCTGTGGGAATAAAGAGGAGTGGAGGCTTAGCAAATTTAGAGAAGGCAGAATCTGCATCATTTAGAATGGCAGAGCACACCATTTTAAGAAAGTGTGCCTGTTATCTAGTATGTGGGTTAAAGACATTATGGGAATACTGTTTATGGTCCATCATGGTGGAAAATTTGAATACAGTTCTTTGTTGTTTTTTTGTGCCAAAACTTGGGAGTGAATATATTTGTTTTTTTTTAATTATAAAAGAGATTTTAAATCCAGGACACATTTGGTAGCAGCCAATGTACAAAACAAAAGAGAGCCTCTTGGGGAACCATAGGCTTTGAAGTTTGGGGTCCCAGGAGGATGTGGAGTATGCAGACTAGTGACATGGCTTGATACTATATTGAGTACTACGATGGATGATTTTTTTTTTATTAACGTATTATATGTGTACATATCTTACCATTGCTCCCCCCACTACGTATGATGGATGATTACCAAATATACTAACATCATGGGATTATATGATATGAATAGGTGAAATAATAATTATAAGTAACTTTGAGAAACAAAAAAATCTTTATTTTTTACAAAAGTTCTCATAAATGCATTTTATATTTGTTAGGCATGCTATTATAACAAAGCAACTAAAATATAACTATAGTTGAGATACTTTTATGCATATTTAAAAAGTAATATTTTAATCTCCTTTTTAAAAATTGAAAGTAGAATAAGCAATTCTTCAAAAAAATAGCCATTTTTTCCCCTCATGCATTTGTTGCAATGACTTAACAAGGAAAATTGAAAAGAACCAGTCAGATAAATGTTTAAAAGCAACTGTCATGAAAACCTTTTCAGTTGGGACCAGGTTTAGAAATGCTTGTATGCTAGGTATTTGTCTACTGCCTCTGGGTGATAACCATTCAGAGTCTAACTGGCGTTTCCCATGTGGGGCTTTGTCCTCACTCGGAGGCTAACGCCATTCTCACTGCAGTTGATTGTAGATTCACAGAAAGGACTGTGCAGCATACTTGAGAGAAAGTTCAGACTACCAGGATCATTTTGTCTTTTCATGTATATGCTCCTTTAAAATAAAAACAGGCAAGAAAATGCAGCAACTTAGCTCAACATATAATTTATCAATTTTATAAGATTACTCATTTTTTCCTGAGATAATTAAGCAGGTTTGTAAGTAGTCTGTTTTCATGCAAAAATACATTTTTTCCATTCTTTACATTCATTTAGTAGCATTTTATATTCTAAATAACTAGATCACATTTGTGCTTTATACATTTGGAAAATAAAGAATAATTTATTTTCTTTACTGCAGAAAATTAAGATTATTAGTTCTCTGATGGGTAATACAATCAAGTGAAGTGCCAACTTCAAGTTGCTAAAACATCACCTAACTATAAAAATAGCAATGGAAACTTCTCATTTTTTTTCTCATGCTGGCCGTTTTACCTAAATTAGGAATGAAAGGTTGACTTGCTCATGTGAGGGAGAATATATATACACACACATATATATATATTCATTCCTTGGACTCCTGAGTTTGTGAGTTCCTAACTGTTGGAGCTAGGCCTACACACCACACCTGGTCAGTTTCCTCTCACCTGGGGGAATCACGGTATAATATAGAGATGTCTTTTATGGCAAAAGGGAAAAAAATTGGTGCATATTCTATTTTAAAATATTCACAAGATTCGTTTGTAAAATGTGTGAATTACTTACACATTTGAATGAGAAACATTCAAATATGTAAGTAATTCACATATTTTATAGATAAAAGTGTTTAAGAACATGTCTATGTTTAAGGAATTGATCTCTATTATATCTTTAGACTTAAAATGGTCTGACATCCACTGTGAAGGTGAATGTTTTAAGTACATAACCTTTTTCTATGTTGGTTAAAGAGAAA